CAGGGCATGGGGTGAGAAGGGGCTGGGTATATGTGGAGGGTGCAGGAATCAGGGATGGGGTCGTGGGGGGGGTACAGGAGGCTGGGATGCAGGGGTCAGGGCAGAGGGCTGGGGTGGGTGGGCTGGGATCAGGGGGGTGCTCTCTGCCCTGAGTGGCTCACGGCAGGGGGCTGGAGGGATACGCCTCACTCCTACCCCCCTTCCCCAAGGCCCCACTCCTGCCTCCCTTCCCCGCCTCCTTACCGGTCTGAGCAGCGAGGGCGCTGGGGCTGCTCTTCTCCCCTCCCTTGCAAGGGCCATCGGTGGCAGGGAGGGAGAGGAGGCGGGGCTCCATGCAGCACGCTGGGGGAAAAGGCAGGGGAGGGGGAAGCTTGGCTGCCAGCAGAGCCTGCTGTACAGCAGCAGCCGGCAGGAGCAAACTTGCTTCTGCCCCCTGCCCCCGCCAGAGAGAGCAGTAGGTGGGGGGCAGAGAAGAGCGGGCTGGGTCGGGCAGGATTTTTAATGGCACGCTGCTGCCTGCTGGGGTCCGGCTCAGCCCGCTGCTGGGGTTCAGCAGCAGGCTGAGCGGGACCCCGGCAGGCAGCAGCGTTCCATTAAAAATCAGCTCGCATGCTGTCTTTGGCACGCATGCCATAGGTTGCCGACCCGAGTTAGATCATATCCCTTGCCACAATCAAGATGACGGTTTTGGCAGGCTGTTCTGGATGAGGGTCCTAGGACTCTGAAACCTACTCTCATCCACCCTCCCCATCTGAAACTGCCCAAATTAGATGACCATTCAGGCATGTTGCAAAACCCATATATCTGATAGGGTTTTGGGGGAAGGATGGGGGTATGCTCCTGAGTATGATTCTGAGAGAGAACGGTTATCTTCATTTGATTATTTAAGGTTGCTGACTGACAGTTATCTTCTATTAATGTTCCTAGGAAGTTATTACAAGTTATTGTCACAACACTGCTTTTGTACAGATATGCTCTGTGTAACAGACATTAAAAATAAAGGGCATCTTTGGAGTAATTTGTGCCTAGCTACATTGGTGGTCACAGTAGAAATGCCAGGGAACTGGCTCATGGAGACTGATCTACCATCTCACACTGGAAATAGTTCCTTCAGATCATAGTTAAGACACAGAGGCAGTATGGAGTTGCTCGCATTACTTCTTCCATGCTTCCCCTATTAGCTCTCCAGAATTGTAAATTTGATACAAGCTTTAAATTCACTAAATTATTAAAGTAAAAAAAGGGGGCTTTCTATTTGCTCACTGATGTCCTTAATAATTGCATTTTTTTTTTCAATTTGAGAACATACCCCTAAGAATGACTTAAATATAGGAACACAATGTACACACACCAGATTAAAAAATTAAACCGTGGCACCTAGAAAGGACACAAATGTAGCCTTAAGATTCACTTGTCTGTATGTGACAAACCCTGTTCTGTTACATATCCCTAAAATGTACTTGGTCAAGATATGAACTACTCACGTACATTTGAGAAACAGCCAAAAAATTCAAGATCCAGAAGGAAAAAATTAAGCCTGTAACCTTGCTGTTCAACTGGGGTAGTGTTTTTACAGCTTCAACAGCTGTGCTTTAAATGTTGCTGCAAAGGTATTGGAAGAGTAAGAATCTAATTTAAGAAACTAATTCATAATACTGCTACTCCCTCTTTGGGAACAAAACTAATATTGTATGTGTTTATTATTTTCCAAATACAGAGAAACTAAAAAGCCACTAATTTGAGTTACCTGATCTTAACTTTGCTCAAAATATTGGTATTCAAACCAAACCCTCACACAGAAATGAGATGAGGTATTCTCTAACTCCAAGATATGTATTTACAATAGGAAGATATAGAAAACACTTAAAAATACAGTCATTTTATTTAGTTTTGCTAAACTGACAACTCCAGTTTTCCCTAAACATTCTGTCAATACTAAACAATAACCAATAACCAATAGTAATCAAGCACTAGTTAGCCCAGGAAGACTGACTCAAAATGTGGTTTTGCTTAGTTTAGTTTTGGTTGCATTTTATTTAGCATAACAAATTTAAAATGTTTTATTTTCAAAAGAGCACTGATTTGTGTATATATAGAATTTGAACTACTATCATACTTGAAAAATCAACAATACCTAGCTCTTTGAATGTTTTTCAGTTATAGATATCAAAACACTTTACAACACAGGTGAGGCATGTGGCTGAAGATCAACTGACTTCAATCACATGAACTCTAACATCACTTCTAAAGTGACAAATGACCAAATTCCTTTACTTGGTTAATTTAATAAAAAAAAAAAGCACCAGGCAGACTATTAACTGTACTAAATATGTTAAAATTTCATTAAAATTTGATGACTAACAAAATCAAAGCAGAACCAGGAGCCTGAGTGGGGCAGTTTTGGGTGTGTGATACCATTGTTCATAGAGTAACAGGGGCAACACCCACAAATAATGCTCACCTATTTATCTGAAAACATATACAATGTTTTCATTTACTGTGCCATGGAAAAAATTACTCTTGACACCTGATTCCAATTATTATTTTCAACCATTTTTTTTATGAGGCCTAGTCTACAGCTTCCCTTGACCTAATTATGTCATGTACATACTACGGCCTTACTCCTGCTGATGTACATTGACATAATAACTTCACCTCCATGAGAGGGCACAGGGCTTACATCGGTGTAGTTAGGGTGACACAGTGTCAGGGTAGAGACTGTGGGTTATTTACATTGGCTGTTGACGGTCATTCTTGTCAATTTCACAGCTCCATGCTGTGAGCCATGAAACTGACAAGAAAGCCACCCAGCTTGGGCTGTCACCCCGGGTGCTGGGTGGGGGCTCTACCTAAAGCTTGGCTGCTCCGGCTCCCAGGCAGACTGCTGCTGACCCACCTGCACTGAGGCTCTCCATTCCCCACAGGGAGCCGAACAGCTGGCCAGGTGTTGGCCACAGAGCTCCCCACTGGGCGGGCACCCAGAGTGATGGGGGCAGCCAAGTTCCTGATAGGGACCTTCACGGAGATGAGAGAGCCTGGACTCTCAGCCCCCCCCCACTGGTCCTCTTACTCCAGTGGAAGTGCTCCTGGTGAGGATGCGCACCACCGACAAAAGTTGAGCAATTGGATATCAACTACAGTAATTACTGCAGTGGCTGTAAGTCGACCTAATATGGGGCTATTTAAGTTTGTAGTGCAGACACGCCTAAGTCATTTTACTCCTGTTGAGCAAATCACAAACGATGCCCTTTGTTTATTGATGATGTTCTTATCACTTAACATTACCATCATCAAATGAACTGCTCAGGGCGCTAAGTGCTTTGGAGTTCTAGACGCTTCGGCCCTCCAGGGCCGGGCATTGCTTTATAGCTGCCCCCTCCCGCCCCGCTGTTCCTCGCGATTCACGGCTGCCTCTTCAAAGAGAAACGCCTCGGTCGGGAGCAACACACGGCCATGCAACCAGCAGCATCGCGGGGCCGCGCAGCCCAGAAATCACCAGGGCTGTATACGCCTAAAGAGCCGTGCGGGCTGCGCCGCTCCAGGCCGCGGGGCGGCCAACTACCCCCCCGCCTGTCACTCCCCATAGCCGCTGGCACACAGCGCCCGTCACGCTGCTGAGCGCCAGGGTACACAAGCCCGCCGGCTCCGCGGCCCTGGACGACTGGGCTCCCGGAGTGTGTGAGTGCAGGGGGCCGGGGGCGCCTGAAGCCCGCTTCCACGAAGCGTTTCCCTCTTCCCGTCCATGGCTATCGGAGGCGACGGAGCCTCCCATCCGCCCCGCACCGCCTCCGCCGGCGGCGTTTCCGTCTCCCTCATCGCTGCCGCTGTAAACGTTGGCCGTTACTCCTCGCGCACCGCGTATCCTTCCCCCCCCACCCCATGACGCGCCACGCGCCCTGCGTCCCCTCCCCATTCCTCAGCAGGAGGCGGCGCCAAGGCGACGACACCCTCGAAACGGAGTGTGAGGATCACGGTCGCGCATGCGCAGCGTCGGGGCTTCCCCCGCAGCACGTGACTCAGCCCCGCCCCCTCGCGGAATGAAGTAACAGGAGTTTGTTGTTTTGAAGAGTTTTTCATGCGTGCCTTTAAGAGGCGAGCCGGGGCCGCGCGCAGGGGGAACAGCGCGAGCCTCTCCGCGTGCGCCGCACGTAGCTCTTCACGTGTGTGTGGAGAGGGGAAGAGAGGCGCGGAGCGGCCTCCTGGCTCCGCCTCTCCTTATTCCCGTCAGAGCTTCCCTGGGGAGCTGCGCCCCCCGCCCCACCAAGTCCCGAGAGTGCGAGTGAGGCGCGGGTTGGCTCCGCCAAGTGGCGCCGCCGCTGTTCCCTGACTAACGGCCGCCCCGCCCCTGCTCCCTCCCCCCGGCGTGTCCCTTCCCCTCCCCCCGCGTGTCCTGCCCCCTCCCCTGCCGCCGCCGCCGCTGCTACCAGCGCAGCCTGGACTAAGGCGAACTCCGGAGCGAACTGAGGAGAAGTGAGGAGGCGGCGGCGGGGCTGAGACTCACCAGCCACAGGCAGCGGGAGGGAGGCGGTGAGGACACCGGGCGCAGCGCGGCGGCAGAGACACCAGCAGCGGCCGGGAGAAAACAACCGGCGGCGGCGGCAGCTCCTCGGGAAGCAACAGCAGCAGCGGCTGCTCGGCCCCCTCCCCCGCCGCGGAGAGCAGGCAGGGGCAGTGCCGCGGAGAGGAGCTGGGCTTAGCGTGTGCGCGCGGGAGGAGGGGGGACCTGGAGGACTGCGCCGGCCGGCCGGGGGCGCACGGAGCCGGGGAACGGGGGGAGACCGAGTTTCCTCTTTTCTGCACCCGGGACCTGGCGGTGGCGGGTTGGTTTGTTGCTGATTGAATCTTCTTCCTCCTCGGGGAGCCCCCCCTCCCCGCCCGGATCCGGCCGGGCGCCCCGTGCCGTGGTTGGGCTGCGCGGCGGGCGCTCGCGGGCTCTGCGCGATTGGAATATGGTTGGGGAAATGGAAACCAAGGAGAAGCCGAAGCCGAGCCCCGATTACCTGATGCAGCTGATGAACGACAAGAAGCTGATGAGCAGCCTCCCCAACTTCTGCGGGATCTTCAACCACCTCGAGAGGTTGCTGGACGAAGGTAAAACACTCCCCCCTCCCCGGGCCTCCGCGCTGCTCCCTGGATCCTTCTCCGTCCTCCATTCCTGCCCCGAGAGCCGCGGGTGGGCTCTTCTCTAGTTCCTTCTCCTCAAGGGTGTCTCTAGACTCGGTCTCAGCCTCCCATTTCAATCCACGAAACAAAGGGCTCCCCCAGTTTCTGCCTGTAACAGCAGAGATTTGGTGGGGGGTCTCGCCTTGTGTGGTTTCCCCCTCCCCCGGTTCTCTGCACATCGTCTGTTAAACGGGGGGAAGGGGAACCACCACCTTATGGAGGAGAGGGAGCGAACAGGAAGGGGAAAGGCGCTGAGGAATGTGGTTTGGGGGAAAGTGGGGGGGACGGGAGGGTCGATTGCAAGCTGTGGGGCTACTGAATCACTCTGGAAAGTATTAGAAGGAGAGAAGGGTCTTGTGTGGCGTGTTTTATGGGAGAGTTAATAGACTCATTTTGTGGGCCTGGAGCAAGGGAAGGGTGTTTGGTGTCGGGATTTGGCTGTTCTGGAAACTGAACTTGAACGACTAACACCGGAATGGCTGCGCTCCCTTCCGTGCTCTGGCATGGGCCCCCGCGTTACCCCACCCCAAACTGGTCACAAAGTAATAATTAAAAAATTCCCAGTGTGCGCGAAGGGAGCAACTTCTTATCCCAGTTGTCATTATATTTTAAAGACGCTAACGAAAAGATTCCTACGTGTGACTATAGTTGCTGAAAAGAATTACGAAATAAATTCTCTTCTGCTGCCAAATGTCCGCTGCTGCCTCCAGCCAGGGCGCCGTCTTCTCTGAGCCCCGCACCCAACTCCTGCTTGCAAAGGGTGCAGAGAGGCCGCTTATTCAGGGCCACATTCGTTCTCCGTTAATAATTCATTTTCACGGAAAGTGTTTACAAATCAATGGTCTCATTTTAAAATAATGCCAAATGTTTGAAACCTCACACGTCCACTGCCTTTCTCCTTTTTGTATCTGTTTTATTGTGGTCTCCTTGTATTAAGAGTTTTTTTTTTTTAGGTTCCTTGTATGGTTGGGGTGCCGGTTTTTTTTCATTGCAAGTGCACAAACAATAGTACTCAAATGAATGTACAGCCATTCAGTTTGGTGGGGATATACGGAAATCTGTTTAATATAATTACAAGAGTTAGTTTTAATCTGTGTAGAAATGAAAGCCATTGAAAGAGTTTCAGCTTTGATTCTGGGGAGTTTTAACACAAACTATGGGATTTTGAGATCTTATTGGGAAGGATTTCTGCCTGCAGTCAAATCCTTCTTATTTGAAAGAAAACTTTGTCAAGCGGTTGACCCCAAGGGAGAAAACTGTTTATATATTTGATAGGACAAAAAATTCAAAGACCATATGTAAAAATGAGAATGTGACCATATTGCAGCAGAAAATAACATGCCTAGAAAAAATTTACCTTTTTTTTGAAGGAAATGACAGGTGAAAAACAAGAATTGATACAACTGGACTCTAGTAAACAGTATTTCCTTGAAGTTTTTATTCATGTGTTTTGGAGGATTGATTTTATAAACCTTCAGTGAATGAAGGTGGTCATCAAAAGGAAAACCACTTAAAACATATAGTTATGGTCACTGTGAAAATATTCTTCAGAACGATTGAAAAGCAAGGGATGTAAAATCAAGAAGAAACTGGATGATGAAGACACATTTAAACATAAATGAACTTCACAGAGGCCTGGTGATGGATTTTAAATTCCTGAAGTCTTTCAGGGTTATATGATCTGGTTTGGGGGGGAGCCCTACTAAAAGTTTGTTGGTCATGAGAACAAAAGAGAGAAACATCGCTGGTGTCAAAAGGATATTGAAATAGAGGAATGCATGAGGTCACTGCGTCTTTTTGAAGGTGGTTGAATCCTGGAAGCCCTGGAAATCTGTTTTTATCAAAGTTTCCTAAATCCAAAATAATGGATATGAGGACTGTGGTGGAAGTTTAAAAATGTTACTGAATGTTCAAGCTGTTTTCACCTTTTTTCCAAACTGTTAATTTTTTGTTTCTGAATAGCCCAGGAAGCATTCTACTTCTTCTTTAAGGCTTCCTGCTTTTTCCTGATTGCGTTGGTGTTTGCATGGAAGAATTGTGGGGGCAGAAAACTTTCTGGAATGTCCAAAAAAAAAAAAAAAAAAAAAGTTGCTTGCAAATCTAGTGAATTATCTGAAGATTTAAAAATGTGAACACTAAGGGGCGCCATTTATTTCTTTTTGTGAGAAAGATGAGGACAGATTTGTAAGATCTTTACTAACCTTAATACTAAAATTAGCAACTTTACTAGAAGACAATCAAGAATTACATTTGAAGATATGCTTAAATATTATATATCTCTGTATTTAAATAATTATGAGCTTATATGCAGTGTTAGTGTGAGATCTTTCATAAAAAAGCATGCATCATAGAAAAGTTTAGCCAACTTTTTACACACAAATCACAATGGGATAGGAAAAAAATCTGCAAAACTGTGCACTCTGGCAACAAAAAGAGCAAGTTAAATATTTTGAACCAGACACGACATTAGATTTACCTTAATTTGTTGTCTAGCTTTTTAGGACACCCAAGATTTTATTTAGAGCACTTAGAGGTTTTGTATATAATTACAGTAATTTTAAGGTTCTTTAGTTGTAACTCTCAAAATAATACCAAATAATAATTAGTTTTTAGGAAGGCAGCAGGCATAGAAAAGTGAAGAAAAAAGGGAGTTAGTTTATTTTTCATCATTAGCAGAAATATATTTGGTTCACTTTTTAATAGATCACATTTCTATTTTAATAGTAGTGGTAGTTTCTGTTCTAGGTGTGGGTTAATTTTTTTTTCTTTTAATAAAGCTACCACAAAACATGTTACCTTTTGTAAAGATTCTATTATTTATGCTTTTGGAAGCATAATACTTGCAAAGGATTAGCAACTGAGTTTTTTATTTTTATTCTTTACCATCCTACTTAAAGTAGTAACACAAGCACTTAAAATAACCTTGATTAAAAAATTTTTTTTTCAAGTAAAATTAATTTTCTCTACTTCTGGATTATAGAAGTTTTCTTATGAGAATATTTTACACATGACCTTATCTAAAGACAACAAATGGAGTGCATGTCATCTTGTAGTTCCTCTGTTAAATCAGAAGCAGAAATTGAACCAGCTATTCTGCTATATGATTGTCTCGGGTTTTTGTTACTCTTTTTACGCTTTAGTTGTTAGAACATTTAACTAATTAAGTGACTTATAAAACAGCCCATTCTACTCTGAACTTTGTTATCCAAAACATATTTTCTGTACATTTCTCTAAAGGTTGATATTTGAAGATATTGATACCTTGTGCTGAATTCTGATTGAAGACCACTGACGTAGCTTTTTTGCAGTTTAACGTCAGCTTAAAGGTTATAGTGGTGGGTATGAACGTGGACTTAAAAAAAAAAAAAAAAAAATCAACTTCACTGTAAAACTCGAAGATTGGCTTTCTGCTTAGCTTACAAGTATTTTTCAAGTTGTAGCCTTTTTAACTCACGTGTAAAATAATTCTTTGGTAGATTAACAAGGATGTTTAAAATGAACATCATAATAAGTAGGAAGTTGGATTGTTTTTATCAGATTAGTGCAAACCTGTTGGAAGAGGGGGTTTTTCCTGAATGTCAAATGGGCTGTATTTCCTGTAATTGTTTGCACCATCAAATGGGACTTGAATTTTTTGCATTTGATTTTAGTTTCTAAAATACTTAAACATTTTGTTTAATTTAACCTATATTATTAATTTTGGTAACTCAATTTTTTGCTTTCCCCTTTTATAATATGACCTTTTTTACATAACAAATAAGTTAGATCTCATTTCTTGGACTTTGTTACCTAGAAATAAAGGTTTTGGAACTCTAAATATAGACTGAGATTTTAAAATAAATGGAAGTTATTTAGTTGAGATATTTTCTGAAAACTAAAAAACATTAGGTTTATTAAACTATAGTTGTTGTTAACTAACTTTTTTTACTATTTTAGAAAAAGTAAAAAGTGTACTCTGATCTTAACAGACAGTAGTTCTAAAATACAGACACTCCGTCAATGAGTATAATCACATTGGATAGTGAGAATATTCAACCATGGACATGAAAATGTTTTTTATAAGTGGCAGTAATCCTGACTTTTAGAGGAACTTAGCTTATTGTTTAAGAATATCTTTGAACTGCTGACGCTACAGATGGCAAGATTCTGATACTCTTTGGTAGTACGCATCACTAAGAGTATCCGGTCTTTGACTTTTTGAGGATATTCATGTGGACTCCTATGAAGAATTACAGCTCTTTGTTTATACCCAAAAGTCTTTCGCTTCACATTGTTAAATTGCTCTTTTTAGGAGTGAGGGAATTACTATAGATAAACCTAATCAAAAACGTGTGTGTGTGTGTGTGTACACACTTCCTAAAGGAAATGATCAATTAGGAGATGGGTGTTTTTTTTTTTTTGCCTACTTTTGGAAATGAATAGGATTAGTTTCCGACAAATGTAAAACATGCTGCATCAACCTGAGTAACAGTAGTTACAACAAATTAAACTATAAATGCATCCAGACTCAAGGAGGCTTACATTACTTATATGTTGCTGTCAATTAGCCAGTACACTGGCTCTAAAAAAGTGCATATGAAAGTTGTGGAACTATGAAGGGCCAAATCATAGTTTTTATGAGAATAATCCAGTTGTCTTCAGTCAGGCTGCTTGCATGACTAAGGTTTGCAGGATTGGGTATCAAGTCCATAAATACTTTTCTTTGAGATAATTCAGTTAACTTTGTACATGAGTAGCTCAATTGATTTAAATGAGAATACTTGCATAGGCAAAGTTAAGCACAGGTCTTTGGAGGCTCAAGGCCTAAAATATTACGTCTTGTCAGAATTTTCTTCAAATTAACTTTAAAATACAATTAAGAGGGTAAATGTTGTACCATTAAGAGTGTACACAATAAAAGACTAATGTTTTCTGTGT